ATACCAAGTTTGAAGTTCCTAGGCCTTAAGGTTCTTTAGTTATTGATCGGAAACCTTTTTTGCTTTCAAGGTCAATGTGACCTTGACCTTTGACCCCTTGACCCCAAAATCAATAGGGGTCATCTACTGGTCATGACCCAATCACCATACCAAGTTTGAAGTTCCTAGGCCTTAAGGTTCTTAGTTATTGATGCGGAAACCGTTTTTGCTTTCAAGGTCAATGTGACCTTGACCTTTGACCCCTTGACCCCAAAAATCAATAGGGGTCATCTACTGGTCATGACCAATCACCATACCAAGTTTGAAGTTCCTAGGCCTAAGGTTCTTTAGTTTATCACTCGGAAACCATTTGGTCTACGGACCGACGGACCGACAAGTGCAAAGCAATATACCCCCTTTTTTTCAAAATGGGGGCATAATAATATCATGTAGCTTTAACTTCATTAAACCAGGAGGCTTAAACTTCATTAAATCATTAGTTGAGATGTAGATATTTGCCAGTATCAAATATTTATGGGAGAGGGGAGTGTGAAATGAGCCAGGAAGAAAACAGCATAATGGTCTGATGATGTATGGAAACCAATTTATTATACAAGATGGAATTCTAAAATTATTTTACTCAAAATATGAGCCATACTACATGCAAGCTCCAGGCCATGTTACAACTTTCATACAAGTTTTTCTATACATCTATGTAAACTATGTGACCACAGGGGCAGTGCCAATTTTGACCACAGGGGTATGATTTATAAAAAGTTGTAGATAACAATATTGTAAGTTCTGTCAAATGCCGAAATATCTTAGTCTGGGCATTGAATTATCTGAGAAGGTCTTACATATTGCATCATAATGGATTTATTTACACAACATTTGTAGAGGTTACCTCAATTTATTACATGCTTTTCGGTGGTTTATAGAAATATATCAGTGATATAAAAATGGTAATTTCACTGTTTGAAACAGTGAAATTACCACTTTGATAATTTCACTGTTTTGAATTTAAGCCCCTTACGTTATTTCAGTGAAATACCAGCGTGCACAGTACTGGGAACCAACTTAATGACGTGACGTCGTAAATGACGTCATGTTATATTATTATTTGGCGCGCTTTTCATTCAGTATTAGGTTAAATGTTTTTTTAAAATGTTTCTTTGCATATAATAAAAAGAAAATTTGTTTAGTTTAGTGTAAGATTGAAATATATTTCACCTTGTGAACACCAAAAGTTCATATTTCACTCGTGGCTGCGCCACTCGTGAAATATACCTTTTGGTGCTCACTCGGTGAAATATATTCCGATCTTACACTGAACTAAACAAATATCCTCTATATAATTCCGGTGAAATTTGGTCATAATCAGTTAAAGATGTTGTTTAAATAAATTATGACTGATAATTACGGGTGATGTTTTACTGGCATCATAATACCACAAAAGCTTACCTCTGAACATTTTTGTACTAAAATCAGCTATAAAGACAAAATTGTGATGTGTGTTTATTAACCCATTACTTCATGAGCATTTTGTGAAAAATGGCTGTTTTCATTGAAAAGTCTCCCGTTTCAAGTTCAAATTGCTATAAAATTATAAACACTGCTTCAATACTAATCAAACTTGGCACAAGTGTTGACTGGACCATTGCCTTTGCAACAACATGCTCAGGCTTAAATTTCCTGTTACCATGGCAACGAGGGGACATCTCAAAATTGCCAAAAATCATTAATTTGCGTTGATTTTTTCCATCAAAATTGACTTCAAAGTGCTGCAACTTCTCAATGGATTGAGATAGAGTCAAATACTTTTCAGTATTGGTTACACGTTACCTTATGATCGATTTTGGGTCATTTTTAGCCTCTAACACGTCCAAAATTTTCTTGGCAATGAGGGGGACTCTGTCCCCCTTCAAACCCCCCTAACAGAGCAACCCCCTGATGTATCTTTTGGTTGGGGGGCCGCGCCAAAAAAGTGGTCACTTTTTTTAACAACATTTCTCAAACAAAAACAAGTGTTGGGGGCCTAAATAAGGCATTTTTTCACCATTTGAGGCACCAAAAAGGGGAGGGGAGTGAAAAAGGCGTTAAAATGCGTATATATGGCGTAATGGGTTAAAGAGATAAATTTACCTTTAACCTCTCCTGTGACTCTGCAGGTGTCAGCCCCTTCTCTTGTATCAACTTCCAAAAACATGTGTTATACAAATTATTTATGTGACCTGAAAATATAGTAACATGAAAATAAACATTTATGTCAACAAATTACATCATTATCACATACACATGAACTTTCTCCATAAAAAAACCACAAGAACTCAGCTTTTATCAATTATAAAGTTGTTGAAATGATACTGAATGAAAATCATAATCAGTTAATTTTGTACTGTGGCATGTCAATGAAGTTTAAGGTTACAAAAACCAACATTGACCAATATTGACCAAGTTCCTTCATGTATCAACCTCTAAATTTAGGTTCCATAAATTATACTTAAAACCTTTTCAATTTCCATGGCATATAAAAAATTTAGAACACTAAAATGTAAATCAATGGGCACAAATGATTAACTAGTACTTAATAAACTGCTATAAGAAATCTCAAATGTTAATGAACTATTTATACAACAATTTGACAAGTTTCTAAATATAGATTGTACTTGTCAGCATGACACTAATAATGTCTCACTGCACTTTATTGACTCAGTGAAAAATTAACAGAATTTATGCTGGAAAAATGAAAATAATGCTAAATTAAAGGAAAATAATGCTGAATTAAAGGGAAGTTATGCTCAATAAAGGGAAATAATGCAGAATCAAAGGAAAGCAATGCTGAATTAAGGGAAGTTACATTTAATAAAGGGAAGCAAATACTGAACAAGAAGCGCCACCATGCGACGAAAACCAGGTTTTCAATGACCAAGTTTTGATGTGACAGCAATCAATAGGTCAAAGTGCACTGAAGTTATTGAGTAGAAGCTGAAAATTCTATTGTAAACAAATGACCTTGACCTTGCTCCCAGATAACTAAGTGGCAATCCAAAGCTGCCACTCAGCAAGTTTGGTGTCAAAAAGTCAAAGCAAACTCAAGTTATTGAACAGAAACTGAATTTCTATTTTTAGTAACAGTGACCTTAACCTTGATCATAGACACCTGGGTAGCAATCCCAAGCTGCGTCTTGATATAAGCTATCCATTCATCAAGTTTGGTGTCAATAGGCCAAACTTAAGTTATTGAGCAGAAACTGAATTTCTATTTTTAGTAACAGTGACCTTCACCTTGATCACAGATACAATGTTAATTTTTGACCTCTATGTGTGACCTTGAACTTGGAGGTAGGGATGCAACACATCATCTTATTATAGTGACTATTTGTGGCAAGTATTTACAACATCCTTTGATCTATGAAAAAGTTATGGAACAGACACAAAATATACCTTATAACAGACTATGTTAATCTTTGACCTCCAAGTGTGACCTTGACCTTGGAGGTAGGTGACCGATTATTGCGCATGACATGTCGTCTTATTATTGTGAACAATTGTGGCAAGTATTTACAAAATCCATTCAAAGATAAGAAAGTTATGGACCGGACACGACATATACCCTCAAAAAGACAATGTTGACCTTGAATGAGCAAGTGTGACCTTGACCCTAGAAGTAGGGGTCTGGTTGTTGCGCACGACACATTGTCTTATTATAACAAACATTTGTGCCAAGTTATTTCAGATTCCTTTGATAAATAACAAAGTTATGGACCGAACACAAAATATACCTTATAACAGACTATGTTAATCTTTGACCTCCAAGTGTGACCTTGACCTTGGAGGTAGGTGACCGATTATTGCGCATGACATGTCGTCTCATTATTGTGAACAATTGTGGCAAGTATTTACAAAATCCCTTCAAAGATAAGAAAGTTATGGAACGGACAAGACATATACCCTCAAATAGACAATGTTGACCTTGAATGAGCAAGTGTGACCTTGACCCTAGAGGTAGGGGTCTGGTTGTTGCGCACGACACATCGTCTTATAATAACAAACATTTTTGCCAAGTTATTTCAGATTCCTTTGATAAATGACAAAGTTATGGACCGGACACAAAATTTACCTTATAACAGACTATGTTAATCTTTGACCTCCAAGTGTGACCTTGACCTTGGAGGTAGGTGACCGATTATTGCGCATGACATGTCCTCTTATTATTGTGAACAATTATGGCAAATATTTACAAAATCCGTTCAAAGATAAGAAAGTTATGGAACGGACACGACATATACCCTCAAATAGACAATGTTGACCTTGAATGAGCAAGTGTGACCTTGACCCTAGAGGTAGAGGTCTGGTTTTTGCGCACTACACTTTGTCTTATTATAACAAACATTTGTGCCAAGTAATTTCAGCTTCCTTTGATAAATGACAAAATTATGGACCGGACACAAAATATACCTTATAACAGACTATGTTAATCTTTGACCTCCAAGTGTGACCTTGACCTTGGAGGTAGGTGACCGATTATTGCGCATGACATGTCGTCTCATTATTGTGAACAATTGTGGCAAGTATTTACAAAATCCCTTCAAAGATAAGAAAGTTATGGAACGGACACAACGTATACCCTCAAATAGACAATGTTGTCCTTGAATGAGCAAGTGTGACTTTGACCCTAGAAGTAGTAGGGGTCTGGTTGTTGCGCACGACACATTGTCTTATTATAACAAACATTTGTGCCAAGTTATTTCAGATTCTTTTGATAAATGACAAAGTTATGGACTGGACACAAAATATACCTTATAACAGACTATGTTAATCTTTTACCTCCAAGTGTGACCTTGACCTTGGAGGTAGGTGACCGATTATTGCGCATGACATGTCGTCTTATTATTGTGAACAATTATGGCAAGTATTTACAAAATCCCTTCAAAGATAAGAAAGTTATGGGACGGACACGACATATACCCTCAAATAGACAATGTTGACCTTGAATGAGCAAGTGTGACTTTGACCTTAGAGGTAGTGGTCTGGTTGTTGCGCACAACACATCGTCTCATTAAAACAAACATTTGTGCCAAGTTATTTCAGATTCCTTTGATATATGACAAAGTTATGAACCAGACACAAAATATACCTTATAACAGACTATGTGAATCTTTGACCTCCAAGTGTGACCTTGACCTTGTAGGTAGTTGACTGATTATTGCGCAAGACACGTCGTCTCATTAATGTGAACAATTATGGCAAGTATTTACAAAATCCCTTCAAAGATAAGAAAGTTATGGACCTGACACGACATATACCCTCAAATAGACAATGTTGACCTTGAATGAGCAAGTGTGACCTTGACCCTAGAGGTAGGGGTCTGGTTGTTGCGCACAACACATCGTCTTATTATAATAAACATTTGTGCCAAGTTATTTCAGATTCCTTTGATAAATGACAAAGTTATGGACGGATGGAAGGACGGACGGACAGATGGAAGGACAGACAGACAGACAGAGCCTATTTCTATATCCCCCTTTTTTCATCGAAAAGGCGGGGGACAATATAAATGCTGAATTAAGGGAAGTAATGCTGAATCAAAGAGCAGCCCCCTGTTTTTCTGACACAATATAATAAAAGATACAGTAAACTTACAATCTGCTTGTCTCCAGCTAAGATAGTCACGGAGATTTTTATCACTTGGATATAGAACAGTTCGTGAGTCAAACGCTGGAGGATATTGCATCATTGTTGTCCCAAAATATCTCGGCCAGAAATACACAAACGATGACGCAAACAGACTCACTACATTTGTTGCTAACTTACTGAAATACATAAACAAATAAACCATCAAAATTATGATAAAATTTTTAAAATAATTGACTTCATTTAATTAATACTCAGAAAAGATGTGTTTTAAGTTCATAACAAGAGCGATCAGTAATCACATGTGTCGCCTCATGATGGCCAATTTCATGTTGGGACAAATTTTGTGACAGATGGGCAGACAGACAGACAGTGCACAACTAGACTTGGTACTGATCATTCCTGTAAAGTTTGGATAAAATTGCACCAGTAGTTTATGAGGAGTAGTCCTGACAAGCTTTTGTGTATCTGGCAACACACAGAAAAAAACACCTTTTTATCAAAGGGCAATTACTCGGCCAAAATCATTCAACCGGAAAACCCATGCAATATGCGCAAGGACTTGAGCTACAGATCAATCCTGTAAAGTTTCATTGAAATTGCATTAGTGGTATAAGAGAAGTAGTTCGGACAAACTTTAAAAATAAAAATTATTAAAGGGCCATAACTCTGACAAAAATCATTGAACCGGAAAATGCTGACAATATGCACAACTAGACTTTGTACTGATAATTCCTGTAAAGTTTGGATGAAATTGCACCAGTAGTTTATGAAGAGTAGTCCGGACAAGCTTTTGTGTATGTGGCAACACACAGAAAAAAACACCTTTTTATCAAAGGGCCATAACTCGGCCAAAAATCATTCAACCGGAAAACCCTTGGAATATGCGCAAGGACTTGAGCTACAGATCAATCCTGTAAAGTTTCATTGAAATTGCATTAGTGGTATAAGAGAAGTAGTCCGGTCAAACTTTAAAATTAAAAATTATTAAAGGGCCATAACTCTGACAAAAATCATTGAACCGGAAAATGCTAACAATATGCACAACTAGACTTAGTACTGATCATTCCTGTAAAGTTTGGATGAAATTGCATTAGTAGTTTATGAGGAGTAGTCCGGACAAGTTTTGTGACGGACAGACAGACGGACGACGGGGAAGTGATCCCTATAAATTGTAGCCACTACTCTGTAGAGGCCACACAAAAATCATAAAACTTTATAAAATATTCAGAAAAAAACATAGTGACTTTGAAACACAATTTACAACTTTTCTTTAAATTTTGGTATTCTGCTATCTACAATAAAATAAAAAATCTTTTATTTCATTACAATATATCTTGAATGAAATAAACATAAAATTATTGTTTAACATAATTAAATCATAAAGTCTTCTATATATAGATTAATGAGAAATAATTCATTTATGATAATTTGCATGATTTAAATTCAATATCAAAGATTAATTTCCATGAAATTGATTAATAATATAATACATTTATTAATCAATTTCATGGAAATTAAATCATGCAAATTATCATAAATGAATTATTTCTCATTAACCTAGAGTAATATATAGATTATATGAAGTTCATACACAATTCTATACACTTAAATTTAGCCAAGACAATATACAAAGGACAAAATTAGATTATTGTAAAAAATTATATGAACCTTGTTTCAGTACGTTTACTTAGACCAGGATAGAAAATGGCATACTTTTATCAAAATTTATATATTCAGCTGTTAAATAACTTGCCAATACATCAGCAATAAGATCATGAACAAATACAATACAGATTTTCTTTCCTTCCGTCATACTAATGTACATAATGATATAATGTCATCATAGTGGAGGACTTAATCACCATGTCATACAAACATTGAATTAATAGTAGAATAAATAACGAATATATAAAAGATGAATATACCTGGCCCGTCTATTGTAGACATTTGTTGTTTTTTTAAACACAAAGCTATATTCATCACTTTGACCATAGGCTAACACAATGTCTTTAAATTCTTCCATAACAGTCTCAGCTGCTTTAGACATCAAATCTAACGCTCTGTCATCATTCGGCTTTATATAATTGTGCATATCAGCAAACCTGTAATATATGTCAACATTTTAACAATTAATAAAGACATGTACGAAGTTATAACTATAAGACTGGATACATTAATTGTTTTATATTTATCAACCATATTTCTAATAAGTGTCCAACTTTATTTGTCATCCAATGAAACACTGTATTTCTGAAAAATTGTGTGTATTAATTTTCATAGAAGAACAAAAATCGATACTATATCGAATTCCGTTCAAATTCGCCTTCTATTTTTCATAGTACTTCATAGAACCCCGTAGTGACGTAATCAAGTGAATAATAATGAGGCCAAATAAAGCTTGACACTAAATATGTCAGTATTCATCCTAGCTGCTCTACAGAAATTAGAAACATTCTCCTGTCGTTATCAATCCCATTGAAGTTTCTAATTTCTGTAGAACAGTAGAACAGCACTGATGAACACTAACATATACATGGTAAAATTTTCTATTTTTTCGTTAAGAATAATATATCCCAAACTGTGATTTTATTCACTCAATAAAATCACTGTTTGGACTTTGGATGCGAGGAATTATATAATGATGCGCATCCAAACAACAAACAGTGATTTTATCAAGCGATAAAATCACCGATTCGGATATATTGTTTTGATTCTAACATTAATTTTAATTAGAACATCAACAAATAAATGCTGCCATACCTGATATTAAGCTAAATTGCAACTGATTTGTTTCTGTACTTATTTCAGTGCGTCACATTTTTAGTGATTACGTAACAAGAATACACTGTTTATGTCACATAATAAACACACTTTCAATAGGGAAAAATGTGGGTTGTGTTAGAATTGTATATATAATATGTGTTAGCATAATTGTGTAACAATATGTTGTGTTTGATAAGCTGGTATATGCAGAGTATGTTTAACATATATATGTGTGTAAAGATTGTTCCGGTAACTGTTGATGAAATCAGCTTTTAATTGTGCACAACTTAGAAGCTGATGTTACGCATAATACAATAATATACAATAATAATACAATAAATTATACTGTATTTCGCTTTCAGGCCTCCAGACCAAACAATTTACAAGGTAACAAATTCACACAATGTTATAGTATGTGAACAATGTTTAAACATATAAAAATTGAAAATACATGTTAAATATCAACATTCTCAGTGTGGGACTGCATGTACACCAAAACTGTAGTAATTGGCTGAACATGTAAGCTATGTCGATTAATGAATACTCCAGAGCGTACTACACAAATAAATCTGACTGCCGAGTAGTGGAATATATACATGTCGGACTGTTTTGGCGAGAAGATTTTCGCTAAATTATTTTCATCAGTGTTAAACAACAGGTTTATCGTGAACAAAATACCTCGAAATTAATAAGGATTGCAAACACGAAATGGAAATTCTCAATTCAGAATTACATAATGTATTCGTTTTTATTCAAGGTACATAATTATGTATTACTTCGCCGTGGTGCAGAGATAAGCGGTCTGGTTGAGGGTGTGAGAGGCCTGTGGTTCAAATCCTAGTCGAGGCAATTCTATTTTTTTTTCATGCAAAATTCCATATACATGTATCAATCTCAAACTGTTATAGACGAAAATCAAAACGCTGTCGCTGCATAAGATGAATTATAGTATATAAAAATAAACTTATATAGGGAAGTACATACAGATAGTCAGTATGATTTAGATTGCAAAGATCAGAAAATACCATAGAGCTGCAGCCCTTTGATTCATGTTGTCTTCAGCAGTCAATTCAGAAAAAATGGGAGATCCTAACTATAAACCTTGAAAATTGCAATAAGAGGTTTAACACCTGTTTGTATATTTGAGTATACCACATTTACAAAGTAACATATTATATTGTAAACAGATATTTTCTTGTCACATTTTGTCAGTTAACAAAGTTACAGCCTCATTTAAAGTCTATGACACAATTATTTACCATATTTTCACTATACATTTATTTAATTTCATGACCATATCTGTCAACTTATGTCAACTGTGAGGAAAAACTTCATTTAACATTAAAGCTGGGTTAATTAATCTACTTCAAATTTTAAGATTTTCAACTAAAAATTGTATTTATATCATAATAACATCATAGTGAAGTATAAAATGACTTAAATATACAACAAAGACATTGTTGAAATTTTTATGTTAAAGCAGTAATTGTCTCAAGTCATTGCTTATGTTATATACAGGTAAATATATAAATAAATATATATAATAAATAACTTATCTCTTAAGCCCTCTTTTCCAATGTATAAAAGATTTAATTCCAAACTTAATTTGTACCATAGGCATAGGTGTGTGCATTATATAAAATCTTTTATTGCGATTTGTTCTTCATGGCATATTTCAACAATAAAAAGATAACAGCAACAGTAACACTGCAATAATTACTTTATACTTGAATTTCTTTTTATTGCAGTGTCAGTACAGCCATTGATGATGTGTGTCTTTTTTGACAAACTTCTTTAAAAACAATCTTAATCATAAGTTGCTGGGTCTTGTATTTAACAGTTTGCATTTAAATATAATAAATTTATCATAACTAATATATAATATACCAGTAATATATATGATAAATATTCAAGTTATGTACCTGTTTATATACAGGTAAATGTAATAGGTAAAAGTGTAAAAACTTGAACTCTTCAAATGAAAATGACTGTTTTAAATGTTTAAACAATATTCATGTTTCTCTTGTAATTTCTAGTGTAATAGTCAAATGACTTGTGAACAAACCTATAATGTTCCTGTTACATTTTATTGTATAGATTTAAGCTGTTATCACTAATGAGCTTTTCACAGCCATGCAGATAGTGCTAATATACGGTAAACGCACGTTTTTTTGTGTTATAATGTCTGCAAGAATGGTTGGTGCCCGAGTCCGGTAGGGCTAGGGCTCTAAGAGTTCCGAGGGACTCTTCAGATTTTATGACACGAAATAAATGATATGATGTTTATCAAATACAAAACACTGAAGCTGCGTAATTACCCAATAATTTTGACCAATTTACCAAATTAAAACTAGCACTATCACTAAATGTGATTAATACCCCCGCATTTAGACTGCTTCGGAAATGAGCAAGTTGTAACTAATAACAGAATACCTTGCAAAAGAACTGAAATAGAGTTATGGTTTACAGTGGGAAATTAAAGATAGTTGTGGTTCTTGTATGTTACATTTCCTTCTAATGTGGTTGACCATTGATGAAGTTTTATTGAATTACTCTGTAATAAGTCCAAAAAGAGTTATGCTTCTTGAGCACTGCACTTCCTCTCATTGCGCTTGACCATTGAATGAAGTTTCATTGAATTCTAAACATTAGTTGTGCACCTGACGAGAAAAAGGAACCAAGGGCAATAACTCTACAAATACTGAAGATAGAGTTATTGTTATTGTACACTGCACTTCCTCTCATTGCACTTGACCATTGTATGAAGTTGTATTGAATTCCAACTACTAGTTTTCAAGTTATGCACTGGACAAAAAAAGTAACAAAGGGCAATAACTGTAATTAGTCCAAATAGAGTTATGGTTCTTGTGCACTGCACTTCATCTCACTGCGCTTGACCATTGTATGAAGTTTCTTTGAATTCCAACCATTAATTTTCAAGTTATGCACTGGACAATTAAAAGTAACAAAGGGCAAAAACTCTTGAATGAGTCAAGAAAGAGTCATTGTTTCTGTGCACTGCGCTTTCTCACAATAAACTAGTACTTGACAATTGTATGAAATTGTATTGAATTCCAACTAGTAGTTTTCAAGTTATGCGATGGACAAGAAAAACGCAATGGAAAAGTTACAAAGGGCATTAACTCTATAATTACTCTGGACATAGTTATGGTTATTATGCATTTCCTCTTATTGTCCTAGACCATTGTATGAAGTTGTTTTGAATTCCAACCAGTACTTTACAAGTTATGCTGCAGACAAGGAAAAGTATTAAAGGGGAATAACTCTATAATTTGTCAAATGGTGTTATTGTTCTTGTGCACTTCACTTCCTCTTAATGTGCTTGACCATTGTATGAAGTTGTATTGAATTCGAACCATTAGTCTTCAAGTTATGCTCCGGACAAGAAAAATGCAACAGACGGCTGGAATGACCCATTGACTGACCGACCACTGAGTGACTCCTATATACCCCGCCCCCAAACTTCCTTTCGGGGGTATAATAAAATCTTTGCGTAATAAAAAAGCAAATCAAAGGCTCGGTACCCAATTAGTTTTGATTCTGTAGCAAATTTCCAATATCTCGGACCCTAATTTACCTGGCGAAAACAGCCAAACAAATCTGAAATAGCCTGTTCGATCCCTTTCTGTACTTTCATTTTCCATTTGTTTACCGGGAGAGCTGCTGAGTAGACTGGTTATATAAATATCGATTTTTCTTATGGAAAAGCTTATACCTTGAAGAGATAATTACATCGTGGCCCAGACTGTGGTCAATTTCCACCGCTTTAAACAAAATGGCGAAACATGGATGAAAAAAAATCTAATAAATCAGTGCAGTCTTGCAAACCAATCTACATTAGTATTGCTGCATGTCTTCTTCTGTATTACAAATTTGTAGATAAAGACACATGATTAAACACATGTAGATAAATTTATCATTTAAGACAATCAAATTAAAGAAACACATTGTATTCAAATCTTAGATGTTTCGTTTTCCCTGTTTAGATTTACTAATTTGTCACAAAATAAAATCTTGAAGTTTTTGGGTCAAAACAAAAGAATAGTAATTAGCTTTCACACCTATATCTGCCAAATTTAACCGTAACATGTGGTTTATTATAACCAGGAAAAATTTATACATTCATTTATACATTGTAGAAATTACAGTCCATATTAAAATCTTCATCAGGACAAACAAATGTTCAACATAACCACAGTAATAAAACAACCTACAAACTGGAATCTAGTTGAAGTTTTGGTCTGGACAAAAAGTTTAAGGACAAGGTCATACACATGGTAAAATCAAAGATATGTATACTAGAAACATGATGCATATAGGCAAAATACAGAAAACAGGAAACAACAGGAAACGTAAAGCATACAAGAAACAAGAAGCATACAGGAAACATTAATAATACAGGAAGCATACAGAAAACAGGAAGCAACAGGAAATGTAAAGCATACAAGAAACAACTAGAAATGTGTCCATAGGACACGAATGCCCCCACACGCCACTGTTC